TAGAACAAAAAGTGGAAATCATGGTGGTGAAAAAAGTGAAATATTTGGGAGTGTGGATTACGGCAAAAACATAAACCTATATAAAGATAATTATGAAGTTACATGGAAAAAATAAAGAAAGATCTGGAAATATGGGGAGGATGAAATTTTCCTTTTAGGGAAGATAGCAGTGGTTAAAATGAACGTTTTGCCGAGGATGTTGTTTTTATTTCAAACTCTTCCAGTTATTAAAGGTCTAAAACAATGTAAAGAATGGCAGAGAACCCTGATGAAATTCATCTGGCAGGGGAAAAGACCAAGGATTAAAATGAAAATACTAATTGATAAAAAGGAAAGAGGAGGTTTTGCCCTTCCAGATTTGAGCCTATACTATGAAGCAGCGTGCCTACTTTGGCTAAAAGATTGGATAAAATTGGAGAACAGAGACCTACTGGATTTAGAAGGTTTCAATAACCGGTATGGGTGGCACGCATATCTCTGGTACGAGAAGGTGAAAGTCCACAGGGCTTTCTTAAACCATATTTTCAGGGGACCAATATATCAGGTCTGGGAAAGAAATAAGAACCTTCTCGAAAGAAAAACACCATGGTGGATTTCACCAGTAGAGGTCTTAACAATAAAAAACACCAACATGGAAGGGAAGACAGCCACCTACGAAGATTTGCTAAGAAAATCAGAACAAGGGCTTAAACTTAAACCGTATGAGGAAATAAAGGATCAATTCACCGGTTGGTTACAATATCATCAGGTGAATGATATGCTAAAACAAGATAAAAGAAAAATGAGCTTTGAGGACAAGAAATCAAAATTCAATATAGAAATAATAGAAGGCAAAAACAAAACATTGTCTAAATTATATGACATATTACTGGAATGGCATACAAAAGACGAGGAAGTCAAAGAGGCAATGATTAAATGGGCAACTGACTTCGGTTATAACATCGAGTTTGAAAAGTGGTTGAAACTGTGGAATAGAGACATTAAATTTACGGCCTGTACGAGTTTGAGAGAAAATGTTTGGAAAATGCTCTATAGATGGTATCTTACGCCGGCAAAATTGGCTAAAATCTATAGATCAGAAAATAAGACATGCTGGAAATGTGGTGAAGTGGAGGGAGACCTATACCATATGTGGTGGCAATGCAGCAAGGTGAAGGTTTTTTGGGAAGCAATTTATAATGAACTTAAAAAAGTTTTTAAATACACTTTTCCCAAGAGACCTGAGGCCTTTTTGCTGGGAATAATGGGTAAGGAAATAAAAAATGAAGAAATTAGTTACAGTTTCACAGTCTCCCTCTAGGGGGAGAACTTCTATTTGTTCTTGCAACAAAGTATCCTTTTTGAGATATTTTGTCAATATTTGTTCCTTTAAAATGCGAAAGGAAACAGTGGAATCACTATGTTTCTCTTCCTTTAACTATCTGTCAAAAACGTTTGTCTCTGGTCAATGAGCTTCAAACGTCTGTCCTGACACCCCGCTCCAGGATCAGGACGGTGGAAAGTTACTTTACTTTAAACTCACTTCTGCAGGTTTAAACAGTCCGAAAAAGATCCCCCTTCTTCTCCTGCTGTCGATTGGGGGTTCCACAATTTTAAATGATGAAATCCAATCCTTTAGAGGCGATTTTCTGAGCTCTAGTTTACGTTGTCTTTGCTTTATTCTGTCTACAAACAAACGGAAGGCTGACTTCCTGTTTAGACCTTCCCATTTCAGTACCAAATTGAAGTAAATTTTTAAGTCCAATTCCTTTCTGCACGCAAGTCCTTATTTAAAGTCCGATTGTTCAAATTTTAAGTACTCACGGGTGCTTATTTTAGAAGCCAAATTGTCCCAGGAAAAAGGCAGCGCTCTCCGGCAACGGCTATGCGGCTTCGTTCCACGGAAATAGCAGTTGACTCACAGCACCGCGCCACTTCCCCCTCTTCACTTCGGAGCCCGTTAGTGGGTTTCTTAGCGAGTTGGGGGGGCGCTAAAGGTGCCCGCCGAATCCCATGGTCACAGGCTTCATCCGCCTGTGATTTTTGAAAGGGTCCCTGCTTCACCGTAGCGGAAAAGACCCGTTTCCCATGGAGCTAGTCCCTCCAGTTCAGAGGGAGTCCGCCATTGCCGATGGCGCCACCCCGGAAGTCCTTCCAGAAGCAACAAAATGAACTGGACTCCTTGGCAGGTTTTGAATAAACATTTACAAACTTTTTATTGATAACATGTAGATAGATAAATTAAGCATCTGTACAGTTTTGTAACATGCAGAAAATAACATATGTTGATAAACCAAAGAGAGGAGCTGAGGGAAGTCTGGGGGGGGGGAGGGGAGGGTGGGTCAGGTTTTTTGGAGAGGGGAAAAATAAGGGGGGAATTTAAGGATGATATGTTATTTGATAAAATGTTATGTTGAAATTATTAATAATAATATTTTTAAAAAACATTTTGAAAGTGTGTGTGTGTGTGTTTTTACAATCAAGCAGTGTATACATTTTATGAAAATTAGAATACATCATCATATAACATAAGCAGGAGTTATAATTTTTTTTAATAAAATAGCGCACTGTCTTTCAGGTTGTGTCTTCCTGGAGTTCCACACCTCTGCTGGGTGGAGAGGAAATGGTCTCTCCTCCTTCATCTCAGCTCCACAGCAGTTCTCTCAAAAAGACTTGGCACTCTAGAATGCGGGGAAATAATAATAATAATAAGAAGAATAAGAATAAGAATAAGAATATTTATTCAATTTATATACCCCCCTTTATCAGAATATCCCAGGGCGGTGTACAACATTAAAAGGACAATACAGAACAACAATGATAAAAACATAATAAAAAGCATCCTGTGAGCCAGCCGAGTAATGCAGCACTCCTTCTAAAACTTGAGGGAGACTCACTGCTCACCTGCTTTTACGGCCACTATGGGGCTGTGGTGATTCATCCAAGGGAGGCTCCTCTGTTGGCCCCCCGAAGATTCTGACATCGTCCACTCTTTCTCCTGTCACCCACAGCCATAGAATATGAATAGAGTGGTCCTCCCAAACTCTGCCTACCCTCCAACATGTTGCAGAGGGAAATTGGGACCGGCGACTTCTGGGGCCACGCTCCTGAATGAGTCACGTAAATCACGCAAGAGCAAGGACCCCCCAAAATGGGCGCCTTTTGGGTCCACAGTTTCACGGGAGCCAAAAGAGGACACCCTGGGAGCCAATCAGAAGTCAGGGTGGCTTCTGGAATTGCAGGACGTCCCCCTCAAAGCAGGACAGTTGACAGGTATGTGAAAACCGCCAAAGATGGAGAGTCCACAACCCATAGTGCAGGCATCCCCAAACTCGGCCCTCCAGATGTTTTGGGACTACAACTCCCATTATCCCTAGCTAACAGTACTAGTGGTCAGGGATGATGGGAATTGTAGTCCCAAAACATCTGGAGGGCAGAGTTTGCCTATGCCTGCCATAGTCAATATGGCTGCCTTTCCCACTGGCTGAGATGCTTCTACCCATTTCATCTGCTTAGCCAATCCAGATATTCAGGGCCAACAGGTCCCACCCCTGCCTCCAGCAACTCTCTCCCATGGGAATGGCATGGCCAGAAGGTGGCTCCTGTTGTCACTTGTCTCCCCTTCTTCTCTCTGTGAGAATCCAGGGAACGGGAAGGGGAAAGAAACCAAGCTAGAAGATGATCACAGGTTGTTGGGGTTTTTTTTGGGGGGGGGGCTGTTAACAATCCTGTGCGGCACCTTGAAGGCTCTCCAATTCTGACTCCAGTCCTACCTGGGATCCACTTCCTTTGTGGGATTTATCAGCCCCTCTGAGGTCCCCCCAGGGCACCTGCTCAGCTGAGAGGAGGGTGTCATAGCACAGGTAGCAAATCAGCTGCTGCTCCGCCCCTTGAGGGATTCCCCGCCTCACTTAATTGGCCAAATATTCCAAAAGGGCATCACCCGCCACTATATAAACCCTCTCACCCCCGGCAGCAGCAATGAGGTGGTACAGCGTTCAGGTGCTAAGAGTGTGTCCCTCCTTTGGGAGGGGGAACACAGCCCCCCAGCAAAGTTTGGAGATGAGCCAAGAGGTATAGCCGGACATTGGAAGGCAAAATGTTGCAGGAATTTATGTATGGTTTTTTTGGGGGGGGGGGTTGCCCCTGCAGCAGATATCATGCACATGCAGCCCACTACCAAAATCAGCACCATCACTTTTGTGACGTTTGTGACTTGTCCCCACAAAACACTTCATCACAGTTTCTTCCTATCTGCTCAAAGGGCCTCTGCTGCACAATACCAAATGTAAGAATTCACTGATAAAGGTATCTATGTACTGGCTCACTGGGAAAACTTCAGAAATTCATATAGACATGTGAGCTCAGCTACTCAGCAGCCCCTCTGCCCCTCTGCCTGAGGGATAAGCAGCTAATAAAAGTTTGGATTCTCTTTTGATCGGGGATTCCATCTTGCTTTGTCTTGTGACAGGTGGGAGTCCTGTGGAAGAGGGAGCCAGCTTGTTTTCTCCTGCCCTAGAGGGGAGCACCCAGAATAAGGGACCCAGAGGACCAGAAAGCAGTTTCTGCTGCCTAAACAGCAGGAAGAACATTCTGACGGGAAGAGCAGCAGAATCCCTTGGGAGATGGCGGACTCTCCTTCCTTGGAGGTTTTTAAGCAGAGGTTGGATGCTTTGGCTGAGATTCCTGCCTTGCAGGGGGGTTGGAATAGATGACCCTTAGGGCTCCCTCCCATTCTAGGATGAGGTTCCTTGCTTCCTGCAACCCCCTTTTCCCTGCAACCTCTTCCTCCAGTTTCTGGCCAAGGGAGGGAGCAGATCACAGACCAACCAAGAGCGTCTGCTCAAAATGAGCATCTCTGGGATTCTGCAATGCAGGAGAGAAAAGGTAGAGAGGAATGAGCAGGGTGGACTCGGCTTTGCAAGGGTTAAAGGGAACTGAGCTGCATTCCTAGAGAGGACAGGAAGTAAGGGGGGCCAGGTCCTCCAGAGGAAAAGCCCCTCCCTCCCCTTCCTGCAAACGGGGGCAGGGTTGCTTTCTGCTATTGCAAAGGCTGCATTGTTCTCTTCCAAGGGGATCTGGTGAGTCTCTTCCTCCTCCCCCCCCCGAGGGTGCAGTGGGGAGAAGGGGGGGTCCCAGGGCTGCAGCAGGGGAGGGTGGCTCATGTGTGTGGGGGGAGCCCCAGGGAGCAGGGGGTCCTGCCAGGGAGGGGCGAGGTCGCAGGAACTGTGTCTTTCCTTTAGATCTTTGTGGGGGTGGGAGGGGAGGAGGTTCCCGCCCCCCTTCCAGAAAAAAAATTATTCAGAGCCCCCTGGAAAATCTAGCAGATAGAAATCTAGCTTTTTAAAATAACCTTATCAGTAGGACTTCTGCTGTGTGTGACACGGGTCAGCGTCATTGCACAACAGAGGAAACATGTATGAATGGTTGCTCCCAAACCTCTTCGTTCGTTTCCCTCCTTTCTTTCTGCTTCTACCGCCCCCTTATTGGCAGAGGAGGCCAGCCAAGCAGATCAAGCCAAGCTTTATGAGGAGCTGGGTATGTTTAGTTGGAGAAGAGGAGACAGAGAGGAGATTGGAGAGCCATCTCACCTGGGTGGAGGATTCCAACCAATGGCTTCAAGCTACAAGAAAGGAGATTCGGACTCAACACACCTAGTCATTTTTCACGAGGCACCAATGACTCCCTTGTCAATCAGTTCTGACTTCATGCATTGACTGGAAGGAAGGAGCAACCAGGATGAGTCCCCTCGCATTAATCTCTTCGCTTGCCTCCAGAATTCCACAATCTCCCTTCTAGAGGCCTACATCATCTCCTCCTCCTCCTCCTCCTCCTCCTTTTTAGAAAGATCGCTCAGAGTCTTGGCTGTGGTGCAGTCCTACCCTGGTTCCCAGCAAGACTCATCCATGCTTGCTCAGGGAACCTTTTTCTTCTCCTGATATTGTACAGCTTTTGTAACAGAACAATGTATTTGCTTTGTAGGATTTGCTAGAGCTTTTCATTCAGACAGACAGAACTTGGCAGAAGACCAAAAGGTTCCTTCCGATCTCTCAGAGGCTTCCTGAGAGCACAGATGGATGAGCGAGACACAGCTGGCCCTAGAGCAGGAAGAGGCCATGTCATCCAAACTGGTAGCAGTGGGGGATTCTGGGAAAACTCTGTGCAGAAGATTCTGGGTGAGGTGAATACCCACCGCTCAGAGGTGCAGAGCCAGCAGGTGAGGCAGTTCTGCTGCCAGGAGGCCAAAGGACCCCGAGAGGTTTGCAGCCGACTCTACCACCTTTGCCACCAATGGCTGAAGCCGGAAAGGCACACGAAAGCTGAGATGCTGGACCTGGTGATCTTGGAGCAGTTCCTGGCTGTCCTTCCACCAGAGATGGAGAGCTGGGTGAGGGAATGTGGAGCGGAGACCAGTTCCCAGGCGGTGGCCCTGGCTGAAGGTTTCCTCCTGAGTCAGGCAGAGGAGAGAAAGCAGGCAGAGAGAAAGCAGGTGAGAGAGACTTTCCTCTGGATACTCCCAAGGGGCTCCAAGGGAATCCAAAAATGGTCTGCTGATGGCCCATCCTTTTTCTGGGAATGAGATCTAACATCCTTAAAGTTTCTGTCTTTATCGTTCTCTTTCTTATATTTCTCACCATTCATTTACTGTTTTGAATCCTTGTTGTTCTTTCAGAAAAGGGATCATTTTGGAGAAATGGACCTGGATTCCTGTGAGGCAGATGAAAGAATGAAGCCAACAAGACCTCCATATTTATCTTTTCATGGGGGCAGAAGGGAAGCAGTGGCTGTGGAACCAGCTCAGGTCAGGGGAAGCTGCCTTGTGGGGACAGAGGCCAAGGGATGAAGCAATGTCACGGACTGGTTGGGCACAGAGGTATGGTGGGAGGAAGCAGCTGGGGAAGCAGGAAGGGAAGACGGCTCAGAGCCGAAGGAGTGGAGGTGTAGGAAGGATGAGCGGTCAGAGAGAGAAGAGGGAGAAGCCTGGGAAGAGGAGGTGTCAGAAACTGAAATGGTAACAGGGCTCAGTGAGCTGGGAGACTCTGTGGCAGAATGCAGTGCAGAATCAGAGGCAGAAGAGGGAGGAGGCGAGTGGGAGGAGGAAGGTCGAGAGGCAGAGGTGAGTCAGGAGAAGGAGGAGCCACCGGGGGCTCCCTCTCCTTCTGCCAGAAGCCACCCTCCCTGCTTGTCTCTCAGAGCCAGCAGATGGCTTACAATGGAGGAGCAAAGTCAGGCTGCACTCTGGTGCACTGTTCAATCGCTTGCCAGAAACCCCAGAGAGGAGGGGACTTGGAAAGCTGTGAGAAGCCGGGCCCTTCACTCTCGGCAACTGATTTAGTTGAGGAAGACGCTTAGGGAATGAGTTGCTGTTCTCATGAGGCCTGAAACTCAGCCAAATCTGTGAACATCGTGCTCTTGCTGATAAAGAGTAAACTCCAGCTGTGAAGTGTGGGATTTCCTGCCCAGATAACTCTGTCATACCAGCCTTCTGAATATCACCAGTAGGATTCATCTGTAGTTGCAGTTTCCATGGAATCCTAGAGTTGAAAGGGACCCAAAGGGTCATCAAGTCCAACCCCCTGCACTGCAGGAGTCTCAGCTAGATAATCCAAGACAGATGGCCATCCAAACTAGGCTTCTTGTATTTCTATATTCATCCCTGAATGCTAAAATAGGCTTCTAAGCAGTGGACAGACGAGAACAAATAGTGGCCAAGATTCACCTAGCCAGCCCTATCCGCTGCAAAATGGGGCCTGCCCCCCATTCCTCCCCCTCTCCATGCCCCCATGAACCCCTTGAATTTGGCTTTAGGGCTTTGGGAGGGAACCTCCCCAGAACAACTCAGGAGGAGAGGAGAAAGTGGATCCTTCCATCAGGGAAACTGGATTGCTTGCGTAGACAGAATGACTTGAAAACCACAAGGTGGAGTACCAACTATTTGCACAAAGACGAATACCCATAGTTAAAATGCAGAATAAAAGAATTCAATTAAAGCGTTAAAATACGTGCCCATAATTAAAACGTGCAGCAAAGCAATCCTATTGAAATAACACAGCATAATAAGAGGAAAAACAGGAAGGAAATAACAGCATTGTGTAGCAGATCATATTTCTGTTGTCTCAGAGGAGGAAATTTCCCTTTTTTCTTTTAGGGTCCAGTGTGCTTTGAAGATGTCGCTGTTAATTTCACGGACGAGGAGTGGGAGTTGCTGGATCCTGACCAGAGAGCTGTGCATAAGGACGTCATGGAGGAGAATCGTGGGATTGTGTGCTCTCTTGGTAAGCCTCCCTGTGCGATCGTCATATCTGCCAGGAAATTAAAAAAATACCTCTTTGTGACAAACCTCATATATTTTCACAGCGCCCCCTACGACACCTGGGAACCTAACACCCCCACATGAAATAGTAAATTACAGTTTTTTCTGTGAACAATCTTCCTCCAGTTCTGCCTCCTTCTACCACAGTTGGGCTGGTCTGAACTGCCCAGGCATCTTAAATGTCAGCTTCAGAATTGTTAGAAAAGATAAGTAGCTTCTGTCAGGATTTCTGCTTTTCTTTTTGCTGCTGTCAGTCTTGGGTTGACCAAAGAGAGAGATGGCATTAGAGATGTAGGGGATGCCATGACTGGGCCAAACAACATCTGCCCCAGAGAAGAGCTAGGCTGATTTAATCTCAGGTAGTACTAGTAGTGATAGTAATAGCAATAATTATACCCTGACCATCTGGCTGGGTTGCTCCAGCCAATCTGGGAAGCTTCCAACACATATACAGTGGTACCTCTGGTTTCAAATAGGGTCCGTTCCGGAGGTCCAGACAGATTTTCGCAACCTGAGGATCACTGTTCTGCGCATGCACATGGATTTGCCGCTTTCATAAGCTGAAGTTTACATAACCAGAGGGTTACGTAACCTGAGGTGCTACGGTATAAACATGAAACAGTAATAATAACAACAATATAATCTAATGTAAAAAGTACAAAAAAATTAAAATGAGTAACTTACTTCAAACAAAGCAACATTCAACCATCGATTAGAATCCAATAATAAATACATTGGTTTATTACAAATAACAAAGGTAATGAACACTGCCTTCTCTACAACAAATTTAATGAGTATTATTCCCTAACTGGGGGCTCCATTTGTTCCTGAGGCTGTGATCCCTTTTTCTCTCCATTGCAGATTGTGATGAATTGGAAAGGAAGAACAAAGGAGACCACAACACAATCTGCAGAGTGGAGAAGGCACGTAAATATTTGGAGTGTGGAAAGAGCTGGAGTCAGAGCTCCCATTCCACTTCCCATCAACGAAATTTCTTTGGAAAGAAACCCTATCGGTGCTTGGAATGTGGAAAGAGCTTCAGTCAGAGCTCCTCTCTCATTTCCCATCAAAGAATTCATACAGGGGAGAAACCCTATCAGTGTGTGGAATGTGGAAAGAGCTTCAGTAGCAGCTCCTCTCACACTAGGCATCAGAGAATTCATACAGGGGAGAAACCCTATCAGTGCATTGAATGTGGAAAGAGGTTCAGTAGCAGCTCCGATCTCACTTCCCATCGAAGAATTCATACAGGAGAGAAACCCTATCAGTGTGTGGAATGTGGAAAGAGCTTCAGTAGAAGCCCTGATCTCACTAAACATCAAAGAATTCATTCAGGGGAGAAACCCTATCAGTGTGTGGAATGTGGAAAGAGCTTCAGTAGCAGTTCCGATCTCACTAAACATCAAAGAATTCATACAGGGGAGAAACCCTATCAGTGTGTGGAATGTGGAAAGAGCTTCACTGATAGCTCCCATCGCACTTCCCATCAAAGAATTCATACAGGGGAGAAACCATATCAGTGTGTGGAATGTGGAAAGTGCTTCGCTCATATTTCCAAACTCACTTCCCATCAAAGAATTCACACAGGGGAGAAACCATATAAATGCTTTGAATGTGGAAAGAACTTTAGTAAGAGCTGTAATCTCACTTCCCATCAAAGAATTCATACAGGGGAGAATCACGGAATTGTAGAATTGTGGAGCTGGAAGTGAACCCTGGTGCAATCTATTCAACCCCATGTGATGCAGGCATAGCAAGTAAAGCATCAATGACAGATGACCATCCTAATTCACTTGAAAACCTGAAAGGATGGAAATTCCAGCACTCCCAAGGGAGTATAATCCACTAACAGCTCTTGCTGTCAAAAAGTTCTTCCACATGATTAGTCAGTCTTGTTTTTAAAAAAAAAACAAAAAAAAAACCTTGAAGCCATTGGTATGGGTCCTACCCTGTGGAGTAGGAAAAAACGAGCTAGAAACGATACAAAAAAGAAAAATCTTTCCTTCCCCAGAATTTAAATAATTATCAAAAAATCAGGAAGCATTCCTTGACTTCCTATCCTCTCTTTCCATGGTTCCTTTTAGCTCCCATTTGTTTATTCCGATGTTCTGAAATGCCTCTCAAACGTAGTGTTGTGTCGTTTTGTTTTAATTCCAGAAGTGCAATATTATTGATTATATCCTTCTGAAGAATTCATACAGGAGAGAAACCTTATCAGTGCTTGGAATGTGGAAAGAGCTTCAGGAAGAGCTCCGATCTCACTAGGCACCAGAGAATTCATACAGGGGAGAAACCCTATCAGTGCATGGAATGTGGAAAGAGCTTCATTCAGAGCTCCTCTCTCACTTCCCATCAAAGAATTCATACAGGGGAGAAACCCTATCAGTGCGTGGAATGTGGAAAGAGCTTCAGTACAAGCTCTGATCTCACTAAACATCAAAGAATTCATACAGGGGAGAAACCCTGTCAGTGCATGGAATGTGGAAAGAGCTTCAATCACAGCCACAGCCTCACTTCCCATCAAAGAATTCATACAGGGGAGAAACCATATAATTGCTTTGAATGTGGAAAGAGCTTTAGTAAGAGCTGTAATCTCACTTCCCATCAAAGAATTCATACAGGAGAGATACCCTATCAGTGCGTGGAATGTGGAAAGAGTTTCACCCAGAGAGCTCATCTGAATACCCGTCAAAGAATTTATAGAGGGGAGAAACAATATAAATGCTTTGAATGTGGAAAGTGCTTCAGGAAGAGCTGCTCTCTCACATCTCATCAAAGAATTCACACAGGGGAGAAACCCTATCAGTGTGTGGAATGTGGGAAGAGCTTCACTCATAACTCCTCTCTCACTTCCCATCAAAGAATTCATATAGGGGAGAATCACGGAATTGTAGAATTGTGGAGCTGGAAGTGAACCCTGGTGCAATCTTTTCCACCCCATGTGATGCAGGCATAGCAAGTGAAGCATCCATGAAAGATGACCATCCAACTTCACTTGAAAACCTCAATGGATGGAAATTCCAGCACTTCCAAGGGAGTCCTATCCACTAACAGTTCTTGCTGTCAAAAAGTTCTTCCACATGTTTAGTCAGTCTTGTTTTTTTAAAAAACAAAACAAAACTTCAATCCATTTGTTTGTGTCCTACTCTGTGGAGCAGGCAAAACGAGCTAAAAACTATACAACAAAGAAAAATCTTTAAATTCCAGAATTTAAATAATTAACAAAAAATCAGAAAGCATTCCTTGACTTACTATCCTCTTTTTCCATGGTTCCTTTTAACTCTGATTTGTTTATTCCGATGTTCTGAAATGCCTCTCAAACGTAGTGTTGTGTCATTTTATTTTAATTCCAGACGTGCAATATTATTGATTATATCCTTCTGAGTTTCTCTTACTGTGGCTAGCTCTGTTTTCATTCTATCTTGATTCTTTTTTATCTCTCAGTTCTCTTCTTTGTTTGGCCAGGGCACAGCCTGACTCCCTCCTTCGGCAATCTTCGCGGAGCTTTGGCCCAATGGTTGCCATTGGTTTGATTTGAATCAATTTTATAATGAATGATTTTAGAGTGTTGTGTTGTGTTGTACTGCTGTACTGTTTTATTGTTGTTAGCCGCCCTGGATAGTATTTTGATTTCTGTTGTCAATTTGTCCATCATTTTGGTGTTATTTTGTAAATCTTTTCCTAATTCCACCAGGATCTCTGCTGTATTGGCATTTCCTTAGGTGGTCCCCCTTTCAGTTTGGCTGGTTTCTTTTGTGCCCCCTGTTTTTTCTGTTAGATTTTTTTTTCCTAATTAATTTTTTTTTTGTTTTTTTGTTATTCCGAAGGTCTCCGCTCAGTGTCTCTCGCACTGTTATCGTGTGGAATATTATTTTATTTTCTTTCTCCTGTAGTAACCTATGTTATCCATCATTTGAGAACCACGATATTGTTCTCCTTTGGTCTTCTTTCCTTTTTATCCCTTTCCCCAAATGGAAAATTTTTCTCCCAGCTGTCGCCCACAGGGTCAACATTTTCTGCCACCCACCCCCACCACCCTCCGACGACCACTGTCAGTCATGGGGTCACAGAATTATGGTTTCTGAACTGGCTGGATCTAGAGTCTGGATACATCAAAGAAGCGCTTCAGTTAAAGGTGTTGTAAATTCAAACACTGAAGACAGGTAGAGAAAATCAGGACTCCACTGCACCATCCGGTGGCACAATGTTATATTGCACATACAATGCATATCAATCGCTTTTTCTTTGCCCATCTAATGATGATGATGATGATAATAATAATTTATTATTTATACCTCACCCATCTGGTTGGGTTTCCCCAGCCACTCTGGGCGGCTCCCAATTGAACGTTAAAACAATACAGCATTAAATATTAAAACTTAAAACTATTATCAAACTATTAAAAATAAAATAAATAAATAAATGTAGCTGAGTTTGCAGGGACGAATTTGGGAGGGGAGTCAGGCCCTTGGCAAATAAAAGTAGGGTTTCCCCTAACCTATCCCATCTTATGGGGGGAGGGTAGCAGGGATTCCCCTAATGTCATCTCATTGGATCCTGCAGGGAATGAAACGGGGGGTGGAGCACAACCCCCCAGCTAAGTTTGGAGGATGGGCCAAGAAGTATAGCTGGTCATTGGAAGGCAGACGTACCCAAAGCCTTCAAAATGTGCACTTCCCTCCATTTTGCAACACAATTCCCCAGCTCAGCAATGTGTACTGGGGTCAAGCAGGCATCATCAACATTGTCTTTTACTTTAGTTCATAAAATTTATACACCGCTTGATTTTAAAAACAGGAACCACCACAAAAAAAGGATCAAAACCAGAACAGAGTCCTTAAGAATGGAACAGAGGTTGGCTGGCACATGGTGCATCAGGAGGAAGGAGGGCGAGTGCCTTGCACGAGTGCTAATCTTTCCACTAGCGTAATTTAGTTGAATTACCACCCAACTTGCCGATCGGAAGGTTGGCGGTTCAAATACCTGAGATGGGTTGAGCTCCTGTTGCTCAGTCCCATCTCCTGCCATCATAGCATGTTCTCTCCCTCCTGGTCAGTTGTTCGGGAGCTTCAAAAGCTTTCTCCAGCCGAACATCACAGCGACCGATACCAAAAGGCATTAGCACACTTAGGAAGAGCAGAGTGTTAGCAGTTTGCTTGTGCTGGTCCCGGGGGGTTACTGTGCGGCGAGGTTCGAGTCCAGTCAAAGGTCAAGGGTGCGGTATGGAGGCTGTCCGTTAAAGCTGAAGCGGGGTCAAGGCAGGGAGTCGGGTGAGGTCAGGAACTCTGGCAGAAGAGCAGGACAGGCTGCTGGCAAGAACTGTTACCAACAATGTTGCTCCTGCAACCTGGGACTGGGCTGGCCGGCTTTTATCTGCCCCGAGGCATAGGGCGGCCCCGGTCCACAGGTGACTCGCCTCTCCTGGCCTGGAGGCAAGCACTCCTCCTGCAAGAACTTAGTTCCCTCCGCCTCTCTGCCCTGAGCCTCTGCAGCTCAGGAGAGGCTGGAGGGTTACCGGACCCAGAGGCAACCTCACCTTCCCCTGACAGGGCTGAGAGTGGAGCATCTGCAGGCAATGGGTCCTCCATCACCTCCGGAGCCAGAGCAGACTCAGCTGGTGTCTGCTCCTGAGGATCCTGCACAGGTGAGGACCCTTCAGGCTCAAGCCCCAGCCCCGGCTCAGCTGGTCCTGGAGGCGGGGACTCCTGTGCAGGCTGGGATTCCTCAGGTTCAGCCTCCGAGTCTGAATCCCAGGCCATCAAACTGCTTAACAAACTCAGTAGCACAGCATTTTGGCTAAACTACTTTATTTACATATAAAACACTTGGAGCATTCTGACTCAGCACCTTCCTCTTTCTCACCAGACAGCAAAGAGAGAAAGAACAAAGGACAATAGCCCCACATCACGGAACACTGTAATACAAACATCCTGTCTCCGTCACTTCCCACTATGTGGAATGAAAACATACACCGTCATGTGACATAAAACAATCCCGTGACTGCAAGCACGGAGCAAGAATCCTAACATTCTCCCCTGATTCGTGTACCGTGTTGTAATCATCAGTGTAACTGCAACAATCATACAGATGTCATACACACAGTATACCCCTGTTTCACCCGTTCCACCCTTGGAACTACCCGCAACTGGCCTGGCCTTGGGCCTTACCATCTTGCACTTCTGACTAGTCTCTCCTGACTATCAAGAAGTTTCACACCTTGCTTCGTCAGGACTCAAACCCTAGCCTCGTTCCTCTCTGAGGAAACTGTGTCCACCCTTACAGCCTTTCTGCGTGGTTTTCTATCCTTTGAGGACAAACCCTGTACCCTTTCAAGACTTTGGGTTCCAAGGCCTGTGTCGAGCTAGTAGTCACAGCTAAATCTGCAACAGCTGTGTTAGCAAACTCACGAGCATACCTGGTGGTAGCTGTCTCAGATCTGCGCATCAGGCGCACGTCTTTCACTGTATCAGTGAAACTCACCTCACTTTCAGCAACAGCAGTAGACTCAGTATCTGAGTCTGAAGCAATGGGGTAGCTTTGGAAAATACATTTCCTTCCCACTTTGCACTGCACTCAACATCCCTAGTGAGTAAGATCACCTTGGTACGACCCTGATGGTTTCTCTTTGGCATTCTGTGAATGTTGTTGTTGTTTAGTCGTTTAGTCGTGTCTGACTCTTTGTGACCCCATGGACCAGAGCACGCCAGGCACTTCTGTCTTCCACTGCCTCCCGCAGTTTGGTCAAACTCATGCTGGTAGCTTCGAGAACACTGTCCAACCATCTCGTCCTCTGTCATCCCCTTCTCCTTGTGTCCTCCATCTTTCCCAACATCAGGGGCTTTTCCAGGGAGTCTTCTCTTCTCATGAGGTGGCCAAAGTCTTGGAGCCTCAGCTTCACGATCTGTCCTTCCAGTGAGCACTCAGGGCTGATTTCCTTAAGAATGGAGAGGTTTGATCTTCTTGCAGTCCATGGGACTCTCAAGAGTCTCCTCCAGCAGCATAATTCAAAAGCATCAATTCTTCGGCGATCAGCCTTCTTTATGGTCCAGCTCTCACTTCCATACATCACTACTGGGAAGACCATGGCTTTAACTATACGGACCTTTGTTGGTAAGGTGATGTCTCTGCTTTTTAAGATGCTGTCTAGGTTTGCCATCGCCTTTCTCCCAAGGAGCAAGCGTCTTTTAATTTCGTGACTGCTGTCACCATCTGCAGTGATCATGGAGCCCAAGAAGGTAAAATCTCTCACTGCCTCCATTTCTTCCCCTTCTATTTGCCAGGAGGTGATGGGACCAGTAGCCATGATCTTCGTTTTTTTTGATGTTGAGCTTCAGACCATATTTTGCGCTCTCCTCTTTCACCCTCATTAAAAGGTTCTTTAATTCCTCCTCACTTTCTGCCATCAAGGTTCTGTCATCTGCATATCTGAGGTTGTTTATATTTCTTCCGGCAATCTCAATTCCGGCTAGGGATTCATCCAGCCCAGCCTTTCGCATGATGAATTCTGCATATAAGTTAAATAAGCAGGGAGACAATATACAGCCTTCTCGTACTCCTTTCCCAATTTTGAACCAATCAGTTGTTCCATATCCAGTTCTAACTGTAGCTTCTTGTCCCACATAGAGATTTCTCAGGAGACAGATGAGGTGATCAGGCACTCCCATTTCTTTAAGAACTTGCCATAGTTTGCTGTGGTCGACACAGTCAAAGGCTTTGGCATAGTCAATGAAGCAGAAGTAGATGTCTTTCTGGAACTCTCTAGCTTTCTCCATAATCCAGCGCATGTTTGCAATTTGGTCTCTGGTTCCTCTGCCCCTTCGAAATCCAGCTTGCACTTCTGGGAGTTCTCGGTCCACATACTGCTGGAGCCTTCCTTGTAGAATTTTAAGCATAACCTTGCTAGCGTGTGAAATGAGTGCAATTGTGCGCTAGTTGGAGCATTCTATGAATACCCCCACCTCATTTTGCATGCTTTTGCCGGGCTTATTCAGATGGTGTGGCCTCGGCCAGTGATAGGTTTCCCACCCCTTTTGCCAGAGATCCTTGTAAGAGGAGATGTTAGGGAACAAAGCTTTTTGTCTTTCAGAGTGCAGAGTGTGAGCTCCCCTGCGATGCTGCAATCCCATACGCTGAGGCAAAGCGGCCACTTCTTCTTTGGCCACAGCTTCCTTGCGATTTGACACAGGCAAACCTTGCACAGCCTGGCCTGGCTCGTTTCTAAAGCCCCACCTGCAGTCCTTGTAAGATGGAGAGTGCAATCCCCTGCACATTTACAAAGGAGGATGTTGCATTGAAATCCCTGGGACGATTTGGAGTAATTGTTTGCAATAAATGCATAGATGTTGTTGCTAAGCTCCTCTGTCATAAAAAAAAACATAGGAAGCATCTCAGTACTTTTGTTGTCAATATACTTGTTAAAACCGGGGGGGGGGGGGCAGTTGCAAACCTTGAAAATCTGAAGTCCCCATTGCAGCCTCCAACTAAGGCCAGGACAATAAACCTGACCATTCCCTTAGACTTCCTAAACCTTCAAAAATTCACAAGAAGTCAACTGTTTGTCAGATTCTTTCCATTCCAATGGCGTATTACTCCTAAAGAGAAGGCGGACCCAGGCTCCTTCCTTCCTCCACAATCCCCTGAGCGTATGGTCACATACTCCCCACTCCTCCACAAGGTGTGAAATCAAACCCCATAGTGGGAGGCAGAAGGTGTGTTCAAGAGCAACAGTGTCCCAGACAGAAATCCATTGGATTATGACCCAATCTTTTCAAAAGACAAACAAGAAAGCCTGGAAGGTCACTCCAAGAGGAATAAAACATTATTGCAGAACAACATTATTAATCATTAATTATTAGTAGCAGAAGCAAAATATATAGAGTGGTGGGGAAGTTTTGTAGGACCAGATTGTGGTACCTGAGTAAAGTCTCTTAAGAATTAAACTCCTACAGACACCCTTGGGAAGAGGGCTTAGTGGCGCAGAGAACAAATCAGCAGCTGCCTCTCCCTTGTGACTGTCCTCACCTCACATATTGCCTGAAGTCCCCAAGATTGCATCACGCCAGACATCACATATGCTCCCTGCTAGAAGCACTCCCAGGGAACTGGAGCTGCTCTCTGGTGCTATGGAAGGTAGGTGTCCTACAGGGAACAGAAGGCTACAGCTTAGGCAACCCTTAAGATAGCTCTCTCTCTCCTCAATTGACTGGAACCAAGGAGGAATATGAATGGGGGATGGACCTTCTGCTTTTGATGGGCAGAATCACCACACTGTTACACAAAATCCCCCAAAAAGAGAGTAAGAGAGAACAGCCCACAGATGAATGGCGCCTTCTGACAACCAGTCTTCTGGATCTGAACCGTGGTCACCATTGACCTGATATTTCTGATGCTAGGGCACATGTGAGATAAAATCCCAGAGAGTTCTGCATAGATACTTCCTGGTGTCCGCATCCTGTCACCTGATGCATTTTCATGGACCATGTAGATTCTCTATCATTTGATGCACCATATCTGTCTGAAGAACGTCACTGCATGTTTGTGCTGCCTGCTTAGAGTGTAGCTTTTCCAGGGTTCACCTAGAAACAAGGGTTTCTTCCATCCCCAGTCTGGAGTGGCGAGGGCAGCATCCTTGGAAACAAGGTAGGTGAAACAAAACATGGCTATGGAGTGTGCAGAGAGCCAGCCCCTTTAGCTGCAGAGTTTGCACCAGCCCCACACCCCAAAAAATAATGAACACAAGCTGTAGTGGAAGGAACAGTGTACAGATGGAACGGCACTTGCAATGTAAAGATCTACTGCACCAGTTATCAGTTTGTTTCCGGACAAATGCCAGGCACGAATTTTGACACAGAAAAGCTTAAATAGACTGGGACCAGTTGAATATCTATAGGACCTGTGTGATATTCTGTTCCCTGTGGAGAAAGGAAGCAAGGTGGGCAAGGAGAACAGGACCTTTCCTGTAAGGTCATGTGACCTTTAAGCAAAGTTCTTGTTATTTCTGCTCTTCTCTCCTTTTATGTGCTTGTTAAGGGATTGCTTTTCATCATAGTTTTCATCATATTCTTAGCTGCTGGCTCAGGTGTGGTATAAATATCTTCCTCCTATATACATAAAAATGCAAGGCTGTTGTCATGCAAACATGACGGCATCACACTTCAACTGGTGTGTGTGTGGGGGGGAGAGTTTCTTCAGAGTGGTTTGGCATAAGTGCCTAACCCAGTACATTAAGCTTTTAACAGAGGAGGGCAGGCACTTCAGAAAACACTCTCCCAAGTGCCTCCCCTCCTTTAAGAGGAGGTGGGGGTGGGGTGAGCTGTGAGAGGAGGGAAAGGGCCTTGGGGCAACTTGCAAGGGAAGGAGAGACAGGATAGGAGAGGGGTAAAGCAGGGTGGGAATGATATGTAAAGGGAGGAGGGGTGGGCCAGGTGTTGGAGAAGGTGACTTGGCAAAGAGCTTAGTGGGTAGATGTGGTTGGCAAGTAAAAGGAGGAAGGTTGGCAGCCCCTCACTGAGAGCCAGTGTGGTGTAGTGGTTAAGAGTGGTGGACTCGTAATCTGGTGAACCGGGTTCGCGTCTCCACTCCTCCACATGCAGCTGCTGGGTGACCTTGGGCTAGTCATACTTCTCTGAAGTCTCTCAGCCCCACTCACCACACAGAGTGTTTGTTGTGGGGGAGGAAGGGAAAGGAGAATGTTAGCCGCTTTGAGACTCCTTTGGGTAATGATAAAGTGGGATATCGAATCCAAACTCCTTCTCCTCCTCCTCCTCCTCCTCCTCCTCCTCCTCCTCCTCCTCTTCTTCTTCTTCTTTCTTCTTCTTCTTCTTCTTCTCATTTTCAGTTAAGATACATAAACTGCAAAATCTTAAACTCTGGCAGTGGAATGTCCCCACAGTGGATTCTGATGGTGGTACTTACCTCTGTCCTCTTCACAGAGGAAGTGGTAGCCATTGCTTTGCTATTCATTTATTATATTCTAATTATTTATTTTTATAATATTTATATTTTATTAAGGTGATTTCAGTAAAAAGAAATAAAGTGATACGGAGGGGGGAAGAAGGAAAAGTAAGAGGGAGAAAAACAACAACAAAGATACATATAAAAATGAAAATATACAACAAAAAACAACAACAACAAGCAAATACAGAAACTTCAATACGGAAAACTCAATACGGAAGCTGTGTAGCATGTTCAACTTCGGAGGCATGTTTGAAAACCAAAGCATTTACTTCTGGGTTTACGGCATTCAAAAACCTAAATGTTTATCAATGCAGGCATTCAAAAATCGAGGTACCACTGTACGATATTCCCATACATTGTTGCATAAATTGGTATAGTGTGGTTGTCCTAGTGCTTATGTAAATGCTAATAGCCTACTGCATTTTGTATAAACTCATTCCAAATGTTATCACATTTATCCATACAGAGCCTGCGCCTCTAAGCAGTCCGTTCATCAACTGACAGTGATGTCATATCATCAGCCCATTGATTGAAGGGTTTCGTATCTTTATTTTTCCAGTTCCTTAATATCAACCTTTTGGCAGCCATTAGGGCATGGAAAATCCTTTTCCATTGTCCCATTAATAGGAGACCAGGAACTTCTAGCAGCTTGTTAATTGCCTTTGAAGTGGAAACAGGCCGATGATAAGATTTATTGTGAGCCGCACAAGGAGTGTTCTACTCCGAAGTGGCAGCCATTCCTTGAAGTTCCTCATGGCAATGTCCACTCCTGCGAACCTCACGACCACAGAATTTGCCCTGAGGGGCTTCCCTGGGCTGGAGGCGGTTCATGGCTGGATCGGGATCCCCATCTTTTTTGCCTACCTGGCGGCCATCCTAGGAAACTGCACCATCCTCTACATCATAAGGACGGAGCCCAGTCTGCACCAGCCCATGTACTACTTCCTGGCCATGCTGGCTACCACTGACCTGGGTCTCTGCCTCGCCACAGCGCCCACAGTGCTGGGCGTCCTCTGGTTCCAGCTGAGGAAGATCAGGAAGCCCTGCTGCATAGCGCAGATCTTCTTCATCCACTCCTGCTCCTTCATGGAGTCAGCTGTGCTCTTTGCCATGGCCCTGGACCGATTCCTGGCCATCTGCTCTCCTCTGAGGTACACAGCGCTGCTGAACTCCAGCAGAGTGGTCAGAATTGGGCTGGTCCTCCTGCTAAGGAGCACTGTTCTCCTCATGCCGCCCTTGCCTTTCTTCCTGAAGTTCCCTTCTGCCCAGATGCAACCCTTTCCCATTCATACTGCCTGCACCAGGACTTGCTCCGCATGGCATGCGCCCGACACAACCTTCAGCAGCTTCTATGCCCTCATCCTCATCCTCCTCACCATGGGTTCTGACCTGCTCTTCATCCTCATCTCCTATGGCCTCATCCTGAGGACTGTCCTGGGCATGGCCTCTGACAACCAGGGCCACCATAAGGCCCTGGGCACCTGTGTCTCCCACATCTGTGCCGTCCTGGTCTTCTACGTCCCAGTGCTTGGGCTCTCCATCGTACACCGGTTTGGACAGCATGCCCCTGCCCTACTCCACGTCATCATGGGTAATGTCTACATCCTCCTCCCACCCCTGATGAACCCCATCATCTACAGCATCAAAACAAAGCAGATCTACAGCAGGATCCTCAGAATGATCTCAGTGAAGAACCTCTGAGGAAGTCAATGTAAGGAAGGCCCCATTCATTCCAGTCAAAAGTTCAGTCTTCCCATATGGGGGATGCTTTATTCAGAGTTTAATTCCATAGTGTGCCCCCAATGATCTCCTATTTTCCTGTGTTTCATTTCCTCCAAGGAAACTGTGTTTAGTTTCTCACAAGGAAGCTAGTAAAATGTAGGTTGAATGAGGCAACTGTTAGGTAGATTTGTAGCTGACTGACTGAACCCAACTAGTACTCCTTCATGGTTCCTCGTCATTCTGGGAAAAGTGACAAGTTGGGTGCCACAGGGTTCTCTCCTTGGCCTGTTGTTGTTCAATATCTTTATAAACAACTTGGATGAAGGAACTGAAGGGATGCTCATCAAATTTGCAGGTGACACCAAACTGGGAGGCGTAGCTAATGCCACAGAAGACAGAATCAGAACTCAAGACAACAGATTGGAGAACTGGGCCCAAACTACCAATATCTCTTTCATAAGGGACGAATGTAAGGTTCTGCACTTAGGCATGGAGAACCAGATGCACAAATATAAGATGGGGGACACCTGGCTTACTAGCAGTACATGTGAAGAGGATCTAGGGGTTTTGGTGGACCACAAGCTCAAGAAGAGTCAACTGTGGTGCAGCAACAAAAAAGGCAAATGCTATTCTCAGCTGCATCAACAGAAATCTAGTGTCCGGATCAAGGGGAGTAATATTCCTGCTCTAGTCTGCCTTGGTCAGAACACACCTGAAATATTGTGTCCAGTTTTGGGCACCACTATTTAAGAAGGATGTTGACAAGCTGGAAGGTGGGCAGAGGTGGGCACCTAGAAGGATAGGAGGTTTTAGGATACATTTGTAAAATAAAGAGCTGCGGGGCCCCATCATTTTGACTTCCATGCACTGAGGACAGAAATGGATATCTGGCAACACATAATGGGTGGGTGTCTGAGAGAGAGAGAGTTTCCTTATGCAACCAGCTGGGACTTGGACTAAGTGCCTCACCCACTGGGGATCATATTCTGCACATGCCCTGAAGCAACAGGTCCTTTCCCAGAAGGTTCTAAGCACTTAGTGACTGAAGGAGGAGAAAATTAAAATGCTGTGGCTCACATCCAGTGTTTTTGCCATTGTAAGGTGCCCTGCTGAAGGAGGCCTCTGTGAGCAGGGCTGCCAGCTACAAATAGTTCAAAAAGGGGTCGGGGAGGGTGGTATATCCGGTCAGGCATGCTTGCTGTAAGGATGGGGTGATATTTCATTCAATTCGCTTTGAGAAGCACAACCATGCAATCCACACTTTCCAGAACAATATGCAACACTTAACGCAGCCTTCCTTGAAAAATCATGCTTCTCCAAATTTTTCAGTGCAGTTCTCTAGCCTAATAAGGTTTAGAAAATGATGATGATGATGATGATGATGATGATAATAATAATAATAATCATTTATTATTTATACCCCACCCATCCGGCTGAGTCTCCCCAGCCACTCTGGGCGGCTCCCAATCAAATATTAAAAACAATACAAAATGAGGTGGTATGCATTATATAGGTGAAAAATAACATTAAAATATTTGTTGTTGTTGTTGAAAGCGGTTTACAGCATATTAAACATCAACAAAACAATCTAGAATCAAACATTTCTGAAGAAAGTCAAATGTAAAGTATACAGTCAAAGCAACATAATTAAGAGGAAACAAAAATATTATCTTAAAGATTTCAAAATAAAACATTACAAAGGAGCTCAACTACAGAATACAAATTTAACACAAACAAAGTTAACCAAAAAAATCTTAAACATTTAAAACAAAACATCACTAAATCAAATATAAAATGTACATTTAAAACAGCATAGTTAACAAGAGAATAAAATATTATCATAAGCATGACATGGCTGTTTGTCAGGCACAAAAAGGTGGGGCAAAGGAACCCAACTATTAGGGTTTGTTGCCAGGCATAGCGATGTCCCTCCAGTCTCACCAGGAGCCTCTTCAGTGGGGCTGGTGAGTCTGGGCCCCGCCCCCTAGGCCAGGTGGAAAAGGTTAGCTGTAAATATATTCTAATATATTCTATAAAGCACTATTGAAAGTCAGATATTAAACTGATAAGAACAGATACTACACTTGATCCTAGCCAAAAGGCCGAGAAGCGATTTGCTCATTTTCAAACAAAGACAGACTAGATCATGTTCTAAAGTGGTGATTTTCTTCAGCAAGTTTAGCATATTCTGTTGTGGGTAATTTTGTATACAGTGGTACCTCAGGTTAAGAACTTAATTCGTTCTGGAGGTCTGTTCTTAATCTGAAACTGTTCTTAACCTGAGGTACCACTTTAGCTAATGGGGCCTCCTGCTGCCGCCGCGCGATTTCTGTTCTCATCCTGAAGCAAAGTTCTTAACCCAAGATACCATTTCTGGGTTAGC